GTGGAGAATTCGGTTTATTTTTGCTCGTTGGTGAAGTATAGAAGTTTAATGCGCAGCCGCACGTGCCATACAGCTTCCATTAAAAATAGTCCCGCTCCATGGGGCGGTGCTCCGATCGCCGGTGTTTGTTCTCCATGTGTGGCCCTTGGCACATTTTGTGGGGGTCAGAATCGTTCTATTTCGGTGAAGTGCGCCATAAACACGTTTTAGGGTATTTTTGAAGCACTTGTTGAAATAAAAACGCCAGATATGAACACCGCCTTGTTCCACACACGTTCCAACGTCGTCACAATGGACTTTCGTGGACTGCTCTAATAAATTATGTATTTTTTTTTTCACTTTCGTAAGATCATTTAGGGTACATCGAGGAGTGACGGACCCTATTTTTGAGGTGGGCCACTCACATAAATTTTTAAATACTCGTTAGGAAAACAGACACATGGTTTTATTAAGCTTCACTGCATAGTACCGAATTTGAAGTATTTTTAATGCGTTTTTTTTTTTACATTTTTTGTGTTTTGGTTCAGCTAACCCACAGTTTAATGTGTAGTAGTTAGACCATTGTTACAATTTTTCAAATATTTATTTTTGAAAAAAGTTAATGCGTTTTTTAAAGTTTTTCGTGCATTTTGGTTCAGCTAAGCCACAGTGCATGGAGTAATGGTACCATTGTCATAATTTTTTATATGTTTACTTTTGAAAAACGTATTAACTTGAACATTATTACTATAAGTTTATTGAATACTCTACATCATAAGCAAAACCCTCTGCTTTCTATTCACTTAATTCTACAAAAAATTCTACCTTTAAAAAATGTGGTCCATCTCTGATTTACCCTATATAGTATTGCGTGTATGCGTTTCTTGTTTTGATTTTCTGCTACTCCCGTGAAATGTGCGCAGTCGAGTCCTTCACCTGGCTTCTCCTCTCGTTCTCGCGTCTTCAAATTTTTACGAAAGAAGTTGTGCACTCTATGCTTCCTGTCTGAATTTTGCAACGACGACCGGTCGTTGAAAAAATCGGAGCGTGCGAAGTGTGTGCACGGCGCATAGAGAAAACTTTCGCTAGGGAAGCAAAGTCAACGCGTGTGTGTGTATATATATATATATAT